AGGCCGAGAGGACAATCTCCCTAAAAGGCCGATATAAGGACCACATAAGCATAAGGCCTGGGGTAAAACATGTCTGCAATAAATACTGGCTTTTTTCTCTTCCCCATATGTGATCTTTTGGCTCTCTAACTAGAACAAAATCTCTGTGAGAGCAAGATTAAGACTCACATCTTTCCTGTATTCCTTCAAGGCACTTTTCACAGTAGGGAATATCCAAGAGACAGTTTTAAAATCATGTTTTCAAGTTAATGGCCAAGTTATCTCCAGGTGATGGAGTTTCAGAACTTTTCTTTACAACTTCATGTACCATATAAATCCTAAAAATATTCTATTAAAAAGTTCAGATATATATTAGATTATAATGAACTCCAAAGCACTCATTCAGCATCAGCAGTTATCAATTGTTGGCCAGTCTGATTTCATCCAGACCTCCCTCTTACTTCCTCCTCAGCCCTCACTAGAGATTATTTTGAAGCAAATACCAGGTATTACACTATTGCAATACAAATACTTTATAAAGCTACTATTTTTAGTCAGAAAAAGAATATAGCCGTTTTCACTTAGAAAAATACATTTCTATGCTTATCGGATTAAGTTACAGCCATCTCCCTCTGTTTCCCATTGCACACAGGAGGACACAGCTGACCCGACTGACTTAGCAGGCCTAAGTTATGATTCCTGGAGACACAGGAGCCGGCTAGGTGGCTGTGGGCAGGATGCTGCCCTGCCCCAGACACCTGCTTCCGAAGAGGAAACCAGGACCTGAAGGCACTGATGCTGTCAGCTGCTCTGCTCGGGCACAACTAGGACTTTCTACTTCCCCGTTACGCTCTCTGTCATTCCCAGCACATGCATTGCTATCCAGATTAACTTAGCCTCTACTTGCTCTTTGTCAAAAAAAGAACAAATACATAACAAAATCTTCGCCAGGAACAAGTTTCCTCCCTTATATAACCCTTATATTAAAAAGAAAAAAATCGTTCCACCTCTGCAGGTGGCCAGAAGCCTTTGGGGAAGGGATGACTCCCCAGAGAGTCTACTGCTGGCCCCGCTAAGGTAACTGTGAAATCATTTAAAATTATTTTGGAACAAATCATAATTCAAACATAAAATTATTCAGGTAACTGTGCAAATTATCTACCTCACTGTGGACTTTGATTCTCTATATCTAAACTACCCAATATTATAGCTAGTAGCCATGATAACTAGTGAGAATTTGAAATGTGGCTAATCCAAATTGAGATGGACAAGTGTAAAGTCCACAGGTTTTGAAGACTTAGTACAAAAATTAATAATTTTTAAATTCTGAAATGTTAACATTTTGGAGGTGCTGGGAGAAGTATATTAAAACTAATGTCATCTTTTTAAAATGTGACTACTAGAGAATTTAAAATTATATGTGTCCTATTATATTTCCAGCACAGTGCTTCTCTAGATTCTAATTCCTTTTCCCAGCAGCATAAATGTGTTTCGTGTTAACCCACCACCTAGACCTCCCTCTTACTTCCTCCTCGGCCCTCACTAGAGATTATTTTGAAGTTATTTAAGTACAACCCTGAAGCTAAAATTAATTCACTTGGACTTTTTTTGAATTATTTTGTGTACTTCACCTAACGGTTCCTGCCAATTCCATTAAGATTTAAATATTTAAGTATTCCAGTAAGACAATCACAACTATCTTGAGCGTAAAACATCATGTAATCACCAGATAAACCCCTTTAGACTGAGAGTCAAAACATTTAACTGCTGTGCTATTTAAAAAAGCAATTCACTATCCATACATTTTTAATCTTATAATCAGAATGATAAAATTTCTTCTGGCTGTTACAATGTTACGTATTAGAATTTCACTCTATGCAGCTGAGAAAATAGTCAAACCCACATTTCTGCTGCAAGGGACGGCAGGGCATTCTCCATAAACCAGGAGGAGAGTCATTCACCTGCCTCTATTCCTTTCCAAAGGATGAAATAATGAACATCTGATAAACTGAGGATTAAATACTTCTTTTTATGGAAGGTCAAATATTACATTTGACCTCGAAAGGTCAGTGGACTTTAAGGTGCCTCCCAGCTGTGTCTCCCTAATGGTCAACATGAATCAGAATAAGGTGGAACAATTCGGTTTAAAAAAAAAAAAAAAGAGAGACTCCATGGAAATTGATGAACTAAGTAAAATCTCCATTATCAAGGCCAGTACTACCCAAAGGGTGCCCTGCCCACAACCAGTCTGTGACTGGTCTATAATAATACGAGTACAAAAATCGTGAGTGCACATTTGGAAACTTTAATGGCAATGTGGCATAATTTATAATGATTGAATTAAAAAGTTCTTATATCTTCTCTTTTTTTCAAATAATTCATTTTTATTGAATTTCACAGAAGTATGTTAGTCCAACAGATTAGAAATCAAAGAACTAGGTCTTCCTTTCAGAAACACTACTCTAGACCAACTCACCAGATCTTCAATTTTCTGGTAATCGCACTCCATATTTGCAGGAGTTGGGGGCAGAAGGTAACAAAAAAGGAAAGGGAACTGCATCTTCACATTTGTAGAAAGAAAAAAAGAACCACTTAGGAGAGGGTGAGTAAAACAGAACTGTTTCCATGACATAACTAGGATTAGAATCTATAACACTATAATATCTTTACATCTACAATGACAATACCACATTTCTTCAATTATAAACCACCATGGATTATAAAGCACATTGTGATAAAATACAGTATTGATG